TCTCGGAGGCAAAATGAGCAAGAACGCTCATTTGTACATCATTCTAGACAGCAAATTTTTTCACTTTGGTGCCACTTGGAAATGCAAATATGCCGATTACACCACTGAATAGAAAGCACTTGCTCTATTGGGGTCGAAATATGAATTTTCATTAATATTTTTGCTGAATTTGAGCAATTTTTTAATTTCCTTTTGCTCTGGTGTCTCTAAACATTCACAATTTGCCAACTCACTTTTAACAAATTTGCCCCACAGGCAACTGAGATTTAAACGTGCTGATTGCTTCACTTCATAGAGCAAATGTTCCTTTATAGGGGCCGAAAGTTTCGCTTTTATTAGAGCTTTGCGCAATTTGCGCAAATTGACAAATAAAAAAATGCCGATTTCGCTACTGGATAGGGAACACTTTGCTCTATTGGGGCCGAAAACTTCGCTTTAAGTAATATTTTTTCTGAATTTGAGCAAATTTTTCATTTTCTAATGCTTTCTAGAACCTCTAAACGCCCACTATTTGCAAACTCACTTTTAATAGCTAATGCTGATTGCTTCACTGTATGAAGCAAATTTTGTTTCATTGGGACCGAAATTTCGCCTCAATTAAAGTTTTTGCGCAATTTATGATTCGGTTTCATTCCAGGTTACAAAGACACAGTTTCGCCTGCCAGCTCGAGCCAAGCGCCATCGCCAGCGTTCAGCGCCAAACACAAAAAAGACGAGACTGCCACACAAAACAAAACTGTTCGCGCCAAAAGACTGATGAAAGAATTCCGAGATTTACAAAGGTATTTTGGCTCATTGTCCATATGCATTAGTCCTGACGTTTCGCTAACACATATAGCTAGCATCTTCAGGGTGTTGAATGCGCGCCCTTGAAATCAATCGTCTACTAATCCGAAAATTTTAAATTTTACGACAAAAATAATGTTGCCTAGTTCATCCTACTGCATTAACTTTGGATTTTCCTTCTTTGGTAATTCACAATTTTCCTACAAGTTTTTTGCAAATTTTATCTCGCCCAAAATGATCAATTTTAAGCGGTGAAGGTGTCAAGTTGGAACGTAGCCACGCACAGGCCATGCGCGCCTCTCATAGACTCCCATGCGTGCGAGTGAGATAACCGGTGCGGGCTACGTTCTGAAATGCAAAAATCAGTTTTACTTAATAACACTGGGTTCGGAAAATTGTTGATTTTTTTAATGAATATTTGGGCCATTTCCCGCTTATTATTGCTTATTATGCTGCTTTGGACCATTGAAATTCAGTTTTGTGAGTGGAAAACCTTTGCAATTGATGTTATTTTCCAGACTACAAAACTCAAAACAAGACCCAATTTTCACGGTAGAATTAGCGGACGATAATCTCTTTGAATGGCATGTGAAAATCTACAAGCTGGATGGGGACAGCGATTTAATGCAAGATATGGTGGAGTTGGGAATCCGCTACATTCTGCTGCACGTGATTTTTCCCGACAATTTCCCATTTGCGCCCCCGTTTATGCGCCTCATTTCGCCCCGAATCGAAAAAGGCTTCGTCATGGAAGGTACTCGTATAAAAACACCAAACTAATCTACCATCGGAAATTTCCTTTTCCAGGAGGCGCAATTTGTATGGAACTTCTAACACCGCGAGGATGGGCGTCTGCCTACACAGTGGAAGCGGTCATAATGCAATTTGCCGCAAGCGTCGTGAAGGGCCAGGGCCGAGTTCAGCGCAAGAGCAAAGGCCTGAAGATGTTCAGCCGAAGAACTGCTGAAGAAAGTTTCCGATCTTTGGTTAGGACGCATGATAAGTACGGGTGGGTCACGCCAAGCTTGTCCGATGGCTAGTTTTGTTGACTCTGAAACTTTAAGTATACGCGCATAAGGAGTTTCTTCTAGAATTCTAGAATGCCAACAAGCCACGCTCAACGAAGTTTACAGTTACCGGTTTGAGTATCCAAACAGTTGAACGTTGATCACGTTAAGCCAATCTCAAAGTTATTGTAATGCTCATACTAAGTGAATATATATTTTATATATAAAGTTTTCGTAGGCTCGTTAGTTTTGTTAAGATTATATAAAGAGAAACAGTCCAGATTTAACAGTATTATAGACGTTAATATTAAAGGTATATTGTGGTCCCTTGCAGTTGAACCCAGGGGCCCAGGTGGCTCTACTCGTCTCAAATTCCCCAGTGTATTGTTGATCACATACTAAATTAACCGTTTGATTATGGAAAACACTTTATTTCTGTTAAGTCTTCCGAGAAAACTGACGCAAAATTACCATTCAGCTAAAGGCGATGGTTGCAAATCAAGTATCAATGTACATAAAAATAGCAAGGGAAAATCAAATTAGTTTAATGAAAATAGCGAGTTTTAGGGCTTTTGATGTCCCGTATAAACGTTCGTTGTGATAATTACCAAATAAATGTGTTTCCTTAAGTTGGTGTTTGCTTCGATTAATAAATCCGCTGAAATTTGAGAAGATCAGTGCAAAAAGAGGCGAGATTTGAAGTCCAGATTAAATTCAAGATCAAGAGTTTGAATGAAAAAATCAATCAATCAAAATCAAAGTCAAATCAGAAATTGCGTGTTGCCAAAAAAGACTATAGAAAATTCAAAAAAATCCTTCTAGCACTGCATGAATGCGGAACGATCCTGAAATCCAAACCAATTTGAAAATCGACAATTTAGTAAAGAAATCTGCATCGAACAGTCATTATTGAGCTAAGAAAATAAAAGTTAAAAATGCACAAAGACAATAAATAACATTTTGGGAGAATTAATCTTTTTATGAAAAATCTCACTCTTCCCATGCGTGCTTTTTTCGCTAAATTGATTGCTTTCGTTGTAAGAAACTCCTCGGTGTGCGGACAAAAATGGTTCCAGTCAAAAATATCGTCAGTTAAGGTTAGTGACTGCTTACAAATTGTTCAAAAAAGGCCAAAAATTTCGCTTTTTATGAATCTGAAATTTCTAGTATATTTTTCAATGAGCTAGCTGCATTTCTCGTTTCCATGAGATAAAAATGAGGGATAATTTTGGGCATTTTGGGACAATTTATATTTCTTAAAAAATCGACCATCACGCTTGGAAAATGTTGGGACAAAAATCTAAATTTTACGATCGTGTTTTTTGCGCTTAATCGGTTGCTTTCGACGCAAGAAACTCCCCAATGTGCAGATATAAATTGTTTTAGGCTATAATTAAAGAAATAATTGAAATAAGTGCGGCTCAAAAACTGTTCAAAAATGTCGATTTTTTCAATCTCAACAGTGTAG